CAAAAAACATTGGCCCATAAAAACGAAAAATCACCATCGGCCCACCGGGCAAATGCCCGGTATGCCCGATGGCCAGTCCAGCTATGGATGTATTGAGTCAATAAAAGGAAAAAAAAACAAAAAACACACACACACCTATACGGGTTTCTATGTATTGTAAGGACACTTTTTCCAAACCAGTCCAGGTGGTGGACTATGGGGACACCACTGTCCGCTGGCCCTTGAGAGATGCTGAATACGTCTGTTTTGAGCCACAGAGCACAGATCTCACTTCAAAGTTTCTATACACGCAACACAACTAGAGATATAAGAGCTTGTTTTTTTGCAACCTTGTTAGGACATAGATAATTAGGTGAGAAGCTTGCTATGAAAGTACTAGACATTTTAACACCCAACAGGATTTGTAAGGACACTGGCTATACAACACGCATACTTGTCACCAAAGTATATTATAGGGCCAAAAACGAATAAGTGGGACATGGCTTAACTCAAACAGTACTACTGCGTATTAAAATTAATAATTAACAAAACATGTGGTCTTATGACAAAAATCGAACATCACAAAACACAAAGACCTGAATTTGAGAACCAGCTCAATGCAATTTGCAAAGACAAACCTTATTCTTAGATTTGTATTGGAGCCATCACATATTTATAATGTGAATTCAAGGATCTGATAGATCCACATTAAAAGGAGACATATACTCTTCTTTCTTCACAAGTTGACACAATTCCCTATAGTCTTTATGAAATGTCCAATGCTTAAGTCAAAGCAATACAGGGATAAGAGTTCCAAAGGTAACTATCCTCAGAGTTCTTGAATTGGTAATAACATGCTCTCAAGCACAGAAAAGGTGCTTTTCACATATCATGTTTCTTTTAAGTACAGTCTTTAGAGACAATATATATATATATATATGTGTGTGTGTGTGTATAACAGCCAAACTGCTGGTAAATGCTCAAGTTTATTTCAAACAAGAACAAGTGGTTTTTGCAAACATGACATATACGTCAAACATCTGTGTTGATATTTTTGTAAGTTGATTAATTGTTTAGCGGCTGTTCCTTTTTGTTAGTGTTATGCCACGGTTCCTGACGAAGTCTCTCTCACATTTTGAACAGAGTGACTGTCTAATACAAGACGTTCAGCATTTTTCCTCTGCCTCCCCCTTTGTTGCTGCATGTCCTCCCTGATGAGGTTGAGCAGCTCGTCATCCCGAT